CTTGCCCATGCGCTGTGGCTAGTGCAAATTTGTGGTGGTAGCCATCGACTATTTCACAAAGTGGACGGAAGATGAACCCTTAGCCAACATAATAGAAAAAAAGGTGAAGGACTTTGATAGAGAAGGAAAAAGATATGGCCATGATCAAGAATACATAATACAAATGCTGCATGACCAAATACTACAACTCGAGGGTGAAGTCTCACTCCTTCTTACCCGGGGACTTAGTCATTAAAAAGGTGATACTGGCCACTGAAGACTCACACGGGAGGAAGTTAGGACCAAACTAGAAAGGCTAGGCACTTCAGAATCAAGAATTCTGAAGGAAATGTTGTAGCCCATCCATGGAATACTAAACATCTGAAGAGGTACTACTAATAATGCGAGGGTAGCCAGAGTAATAAAACTCTTAAGATTTTATTTAGTCTCAAACCTAGACTTGTACCTTTTTTGGAATTACCAAATAAAGTTTTCTGGGATTGCCACCCACCACTGTTTATTATAAGTAGTTATCAAATAAAAGTTTTTTGAATTTATTTCAAATTTTCCCTGCTTTTCACTTCATAAGAAGTTTGGAAACAAAAGCCACTTCCACAAAAGTTAGAGCACAGCCTGACGCTACCTAACAACCAAAAAAAAAAGAAAAAAAAAACATCAAATATCCTCAGAATTCTGACTACCCTCGTTGTTGTCACCCTCCTTATCACCATTTGAATCTCCATCACTAGAGCCCTCGCCATCAACATCAGCATCCGACTCCTTATAAGGAATGAATCCCAAGAAGTCCATGTTGGGAAAATTAGCAAGAGCTTTCCCTCTAAATTTCTCTTAGCCATCAATAACAGGCACCCATAGTGTTATCCTGCAAATCATCCTTCCTCCTCATCTTTGGAATCCCTCTCATTGGCAGACTGTAGCTCTACCTCAAATTTGGAAGCCTTCTCATGAGCTGCTTGTAGCTCTGCCTCAACTCAGGTGACCTTCTCATGGGCTCTACCTGCAATTGTAACGCCCCAAAACCCACCTTGGATGACATTATAATCTAAAAATCATTCACAATACGAGAGCAACTAATAATATCCATAATTAAGATAATTTCATTAATCATTCATAATGTCTACAACGTTATCCCAAAAGAATATACCGAACTATGACATCTACATCCCAAAATAAATATATATAAACTATGACAATTATATCTCAAAAAAATCAAGCTTAATCTTACAGCGAAATGAACAAAATACATCTATTAGTGTACCAAAATATATCCCCTAATCTAAAACATGGAGAGATCAACTCTAAACATCCCCCTCGAGGTCCACGCTTTCCTCCAATTGTGCTTCCCAAGCCACTTGCTCGTCAACTCCGAGCTCTTCATCTAAACCGACATCTGAGAATGAATAATATTGTAGGGGTGAGCATTAAGCTCTATAGCAACATCCCTTCAAACTTGAACAAGGTTTAGAAAACATATAAAAACAGCCGGTCTCATTTCGCAAATATCATATATAACATTTGAAATAAAACAGGGATATTTCAATAGGTCTCCAGTTTACACAATAATAATAATTAAATGAAGAGATAAACCAATTTCCAAGAAATAAACCATTGTAACATTGAACCACAATCCACCATTTGTAACATTACCCATAATGTAAATCAACCACAACTTGTATCTACAAATTTGTACTTGTATCTCAGGCATGATGTATGACATTGCATGAACCGACATATTGAGAATATCCTGGCCCACACTCACACACCCAATCCTCGCAAGGATCTCCAATTTTTAGGAAGAGCGTATACCAACACAATGACAGTGACGAATCCAACCCAAGAGTAGTATATTAACCCTCAGCTACGGTACCCGTGAGCGAATAGTGGTTTGGTCCTCATAAGGCACTAACCCCATTGCGAGTGGTAAGAAAAATTCAAACACACATGGAGTAAGCAACACGTCTACCCACTCTACGATACCCGGTTAACGGCCACCTATGGTCATCCCAACATCCTCAAGAGATACAATCCCCAACAAATTTCTCACATAACAATCCAATTCCAAAATCTCCAAATTTTCATATAGTATTACAATAAAACAATTGAAGAAAATAAGCAAGAGATTATCAACAATATAATTTTATTGTTCAATATAAAACACTAGAGTTTTTAAATCAAGAATAAAAGAAGAAGCAAGAAGAAAACTCATTTCTTTTGAAAATTAGGGTTTTATACCAAGAAAAGAGATTTCATGGTTATCTAACCCTAACTTTGTTTAAAATATGGTAATTTTTAAAAGAATATCAAGAATCAAGGTTTTCAATGCATATATATAAGCTTTAGAGTCAAAACATGTATATATATAAGCCCTAGCATCAATGGATAAGAATGGAAGAAAACACTACCTTGAATCAAAGGTTCCAAGTAAAGTCCAAGCTCTAGAGACCTCCTTCCTCTATTTTCTTTCTTCCCTAATCTTCCCCTAGGGTTCTAAAAGAGTTGTGGTGAGAGTGGAGTGAAAAAATGGAAGAAAATGGGAATAAAGTGGTGCTTTAAAGCCAAGAATCCCAAATTTTACTGTTCATAGGGCCAAAAATTACATTTTTGTCCAAAGTTTTAGTTTTGCCATTAAATATCTCCAATTTGATCCCTATGACTACCCTAAGATTTTTAGACGTTCCGGATTCATTTTTAATGTTATTTTAACCAAAAAAGATTTAATTTTATAATTTATCTTTATACTAAAATAATTTACACCTGAAACACTAAAAATTCTATTATATTCCTCCGAGCCGCTCTTAATAAAGGTTTACATCGATTGACCCATCCGAGGTCCAACATACCATCCTTGGTACTCTATTATTGTCCATTTATAACATTTGAAGGAAATAATACTTAGTCCCAAAGCTTTGGCAACTTAGGCACTAGTACCCACTTCCTCAGTTTTCCTCCTTTTTGACCATGATCCACTTCGAATCTAAATAAGTTCAAAACATGAAAGTTGTAGATATGAATGTCCTCTGTATTGTGTCAAAATTGCAGCTCAATCGGATGATTGGATCAAAAGTTATGACAATTCTACCAAAAGTAGTTCAGAGTAGACAGTACTGGTACACTTTAGCTTCTGGTGTTCACAATACCGGTACGCTGCCCAAAACGCCTGATTTTTCATTTCCAATACATTCTAAACCCTTCCAACACCAACCCAAACTTATACAATATAAATTTTTTCATCAAATATAGTTGGTACAAGTTCTATTACAAACGATTTCATATATTTACCCGGGTTTTACCATATTAGCATTCAAAAAGAAATGATTACTTGCTATATAAAGATAAGAGTGTGGGGGTTTACAACAACTTTGCCTCTGGTCTTGTACGGATAGCCTCACTGTTAACCTCCAACTTAGCGGCTCTCTCACAAGTCGCCAAAAGATCGACCTCAAGAGGTGTAGCTTTTTCGTGTGCTGCCCTCAATTGCACCTCAACAACTTGCAAAGTCTGTCTCTCCTTCATCAAAACCCTCGATACGTGATCATGATGGGTAGCCCTCGCAAAAAGGTATGTAGTGGTTGTGGACACCTACAAACATATTTCTCACCCACTAACATACAGAAATAGGAAAAGGTTAGTGCCATTAGAGGACATAAAAGAATGAAATTCCATAGAAGTACATAGATTGCCCTGACCAAGCCCTCCATCACGGTGTTAATAACACCCTCGATACTCTAATGGTTGACTTCTCAAATATCCAAGGGTGTCACGAACCTCGAAAGCCACTCCCTAGCTACATTCACATTCTGAAGCATGGACACAGAAGGCATAGGTGGCGTCCTAATTTGTGCTAGAGAAGGTGCTTGGACAACTAGAACAGGTGGAGTCACTTGTTGGGAACCCATAGGAGTCTCATCCTGCCTCACCTTCTTAGGTGGAGGAGTCGCCTAGACAACCCTAGTGGATTAAAGAGCCTCCACCCTGGACCTATTTACTATGGAACCATAATAAAAGGAGTAAGTTTTCCAAGTTGAAAATACTGTCAAAAAGTCATTGTAAAAGATGATATACATCTCTTTTTGGAGGAAGAGTCGCGGGCCTAGGAAGAAGGTAAATCATCTCCAAAAAGGGATCCCCCAGCTTTACCCGCTCTAGACATAAGGGTCTCATGGTCTTTTACAAGGTGAGCCCTCACAACTTGAAGCCTTCCCTCTTTGTCTGTCGACAACTCTGGCAGGCCTAAAAAGGAGTTGAAAATATAGTAAAGGCAAAAGGGACACATCAATAAAAAAAAGGGCGAAATTTATACCTATCCTCTTAGGTGCACCCCATCCCATGGGAATCAAAGTCTGGTCCTCCTCAGTAGCCCACTTTCCTCCTACAAACAAAAATCGAGTCCTCCAACTATGGCAGTTGGAGTATAGTCCAATGATCAACTTCCTGCCCTCGGAGAAAAAGTTGTACCAGCCTCAATTGGGAGTGGGGGTTCTCAGGCAATGTATAAGTAGCCAAAAAATCCTCACATGAGGGAGAGGCACATTCGCTATGACCACATCTCCACAACGCGAGAAATCCCAACAACACTCTCCAACCATTAGGGACCAACCACCCCAGCACGATTGACGAGTTTGCTACGATGTGGCTCACAGGTGAAGGCATCAAGAACCTTACACCTGCTTCTAACACCTTCTCATACACAATAAGGTCCTCGAAGGAGTCATTAGAGAGTAGCTTGCCCATCTCATTCCAGTAGCACAACACCACAGGGGGAATGCAAAAAGTGGATTTAATTCTAGCAATCTCAACATCAGTATTGAGGGAGCTAGAAATAGAGCTCACCTTAAATTCATCGTCATCAATAGCCACCTAACCACGATACTTGCGTCATTGTAGATGTAGGGGAACACTACCTTCATCACCTCTCGTCTCTTGCCCAACGACTAGCTCCATTCGTAGCTCTTTCTTGGCACCGAGCCCGTCTGTTTACGTCGCAGCACCTACCACTACGCTCAAGCAACCATGCCAACCCCCGTGCATGCGCCTACACATGTGCCCACGCTTATCTGGGCATCCTCGACACACTCGTCCGCACCTACGATGCCCCTGCCTGTGCCAACCTCCACAGCGCCCCTACCTACGCCTGTCTCCATAGCGCCCGCAACACCCCTCCCTATGCTAGCACCTATAGTGCCTGTGACGGCGCCCGCCTCCACGACACCTTCACCCACATCGCCCTTGCCTATGCTTGCTCTATAGCTAGCCCGTGCTGTGGCACTCTCACCCGCGCCTTCTGTGGTGCCTCTTGGTGTCCCCTTACCTAAGGCCTACTCCTTGAGTCCCAATCTAGTCGACATCTCATCTCTCTTTATTCTTTATCATATTGAGTTGGGAGAATTGATGTGAAAGGACCCTATTTATAGCCAAAGTTTCAGATTTGGCAACATCCTAATCAAGTTGGGAGTCTCAATAGGATTGGGATAAAGTCTTCTAATCAAGGTGGAAGGAAGAGAGATAAAGAGCTTATCTAAAGACTTAAGGTAAGAGATAAACTCCCTAGAAGAAAGTCAAAACAACAATAAGTCTCTGCCAACAGAGAGTGTTCGCCAACTCAGGAATTCAAATCTCAAAGTAATATCTACTAGGACACTGTCAATATTTGGGAAAAAGAGTAAAGAGCAGGAGTTTATCTTTGTTACTGCCCTCTCCCTCAAAATCCATTGGGCTCGTGGCATAGGGCCAAATGATGGACCCGACCTAGACCAAGCTTAGGATTACGAACAATGCCCAGAATTACAGACTAGACCAATGCAAAAGCCTAGTTTAGAAATGCAGGTCAGACACGTCATAGGAAGGAGGAAGTTAGGTCAGGTCAACCGCACCATCTTGAGAGAGAGTCGGGTTAGCCGCCTCATAGCTAAGAAACTCAATCCATAACTGATATTCGAAAAGATCTCCTTGGAACGCACACATCACCACCTCCATGAAATTGTCTCACCTGCTTTGAAAAGGATGCCACATCCACAAAACTACCTCACATGATACAAGAAAGACACATTAATCTATTAAGAAGCGCCTATAAATTGTAAACTCTACCTCCACAAATGGGCATCTCTCACATCTCACTCATATATAAGCACTCTACACCCCTTGAGCAATAAAATACTCAAGTCATCTTAACCCTTGATAGTAGAATAGGTCACAAAAATCGAACACTTAAACTGTGCTTTACTTGTGATTGACTCTCAATCATTTATTACTACATTTAATACTTGACAAGTGATGAAAAACCACATTTTGTGCATCAAAAAAAAAAAAAAACTCATTGCATGTGCTACGCTACACCTGCCCATTTTAATTTGAGTAACTTACACCTATGACCCTCAAATTATGACCCTTGTGTTAATTAAGTCCTTGCACTTTTTTTTGTCAATTTAACCCTTGAACTCTCTGGTTGTATCAATTAAACCCTCCATTTGCCTCCGTTAGAATGGTGAAATGTCATTCGCGTGACATAAATAGTAGAAATAAACTATACATATAACTCTCAAACTATGACCCTTGTGTCAATTAAGTCCCTGAACTTTATTATTTAGTCAATTGTGTCATTCAACTTTCTAATTATGTCAATTGAGTCATTTTGTCTTTTTGTGCCATATAGTCAATGAGTTACACATTCGAACGAAGACAGACATAAGGGCTCAATTGACAATTAGAGAGTTTAGCGACTCCATTGACCAAAAAAAAAAAAAAAAATTTCAAGTACTTAATTGACACAAAAGTCATAGTTTGATAACTACATATATGCCCTACCAAAGTAATCCGGTAATTTAAATGTTTCATATGTCATTAATGCAAATCTCTTACACCATACAACTATAGTTACAATACAACACAACTTAACCTGACGATATTTCATAAGGAATTACAATTTCCAACCATCTTAAGCTACAGCACACCAACATTTTTAAGGCAAAACACACCAAATAAACACTAAGGAACAGTTGTCAATTGCTGCATCTCATACCCCGCTTTTCATGAGCAGTTTGTATCATAACTTGCAAGTCCCTGCAACTCTGGACCTTCCAGTCGAGGATTGTTCTCAAAGCTGCTCATTTCAAGAACAAAAAAGTAGTGTCACAAGCATGACGAGGAAATTAATGTGGCAACAGCAGACATATCTTCTTGTTCAAGTGTTCAGAGAACGAAGTGGATGAATATATCACACAGTTGGACAAATCTAGATTATGAACAATTAGATAGTAAAATAATAGCTGAATATTTTAAATTATAAGCGATGTTTACATATACCATTGGTGAAAAAATATGCATAGACGATACACTCGGCAGACAAATAATGTCCTAATCATGGCAACAAACCAAAACGTACAAACCTGTAAGTGGTCTAAGATGCTCCGACCAATTCCAAAGTAACAAAATTTCAGTCTCTGAAAAGACCATAAATCTATGTAACGAAATGACCTTTCACTTCCATCAACAAATTATTTAACAATCTTAATCCAGGCATACCAAACTGTTGTCAGATGTCTCTAAATCATTGGCTGGGGTACAATTCACTAACCCTTTTCATAATGATCATTGCAATATTTTCTCTTACCCTAACCCATAGGTTAGCCCCATTGCTAAAAATGTTGGACAGCAGCCACCCCAAATTTAGACCCGAATCCACCAACACACCAACCCCCTCCCCCAACCCCAACCAAAACAAAACAATTTGGGGCACCAAGCACCCCTCATGTCCATGGACAGAAAAATCAAGCAAAGAAAGCTAATTATGCAAGGACAAAATCAGGGAGCTATATTACCATTGAAAATATAGATACAATATATGGTAGTGGAATATATAGAAAAATATGATATTGACAATGTGGTCAAATTTGCATGGCTGCTGAAGTTGGAACTTGGAACTAGGAAGCTATCAAAATCTATGAAGCACTAGTTCTTTGTCAAGGTCGACATACCCATATTGGATATTATATCTCGTCGGATACTCAAAGATATGCATCGGATACACATCATATGTATATAATAATTAATAAAATATGTGGATATTTCTACACATGGAGCCAGATTTACAATTTTAATTTGAATCTATACCCTCTACTTTCGAGTTCACATACAATACAATATATCAAAAAAAATCTACTTGATTTTGAAGACATGAGTATTTTTTAAATATTATCTACTATTACATGTCAAAAGAGTATAAAGAAATGAGTTAGTTACACTACAATCTTAGAAACAAATACTTGTAAACAAATTAACTAGTTAAATGTTAGTTCTGATTCCTTTAATTGGTCACGTTAACTTTATGGATATATATCATAATAAGACGATATTACACATTTTTCAATATTAAAATTACTAATTTTCTTTCTAATGTTAAATAATTGTTAAAAATTATAATTTTTAAGTGGTTAAATAATAGTAAAATATAAAATATATTTTATTATAAACATTTCTTAACTGTACCCGTATGAATTTTTTTTAAATTTTGTCATATAGTCATATCCGTCTTATCAAAAGAGCATATCCACACAACACAACAATGCATGATGCAGACCATGATATACAGACAATAGAAAAATTTAAATTTCATATGAAACTCTCTTAACACCTCGTCTAATCAAAATTTGGGCCAAAATTGAGTGGTATTTGTGTTGTTTAGTAAAAGCAACACAAATAGTATGAGGCAAATGGTGAATCCATGAGGCAAGTTGAGACCAAAGATGAAGTTACTCTTAAAATTAACATTGACAAATTAAGTGGACGAGTGCATCTAGTCTATTTTGTGATCAAGGTATGTCTCTTAAACTGAAAGAGAATTTTGTAAGACAGCTATAATACCAATCGTACTTTGTTATGCAGAATATTGGATGACTAAAAACATCTTTAGAAACTAAATGCGTCAAAAAGGCGAATGTTACTATGAATGTGTAGTAAAATTAAAGAGGAGAAAATTAGGCTCAATATATACATAAAAGATAGAAGTAACACAAATAAAAGATTTAACTAAGAGATAATCGATTTAAGTGGCTTAGAAACATTTGTGAAAGGCCTATTAATGTAATAACGAATAAGAATCATGTACTACTCATTGGATAACATTGCGAGAAGTATAAATAGACGAAAATTAACTTTGCATGACATAAGCAAAAAAAAAAAAAAGATATGATAGTTTTTGGTATAATAGTCAACACCTTTGGCCTAAAAAGGCCACCATGAATTACCTGCCCTGCCCTCCAAAGATTGCTTTTCCCCCAAGTTCTTTTGATCTCTAGGCTATAATTTCCCAAAATATATTGTTGAATCAGCTTTGCTATAAAATGGTGAATAGAGACATCTCACTTATGAAGACTTGGATGTCTTCTTGATTTAAGGTAAGAAAGCCCAAGAGTCAATACAACCTTACCATAAATTGTAGGGAATATTAAGGAAAGACTCCAAGAGTCTTCTTGACATTACTTTAGGAGGTTATCTTACAGAGCTCAAGGAAATATATCTAGATTCTTCTTATACTTCAAATTATTTTCTTCTTCTCTGATGTCCATCTTTTCAAGTTCTAATCAATCAACTTTTTTCCTAACAGATTATCCAATCAACATTTATATTACATAATTAGTTTCTGGTAGAACCTTATTTTCCAAATTAACATTTATATTACAAGTTCTAATCAAGTCTAATGTCCATCTTTTCAAGTTCTAATCAATTCACTTTTTCCCTAACAGATTATCAAATCAAAATTTATATTACATATTTAGTTTCTGGTAGAACCTTATTTTCCAAATTTCAAAGAACCAAACCCTTCTGAATCTAGCCTATAGCAGCCTATTCTCGTCCCCGAACCCTACATCACCCTTCCCTTCTCAGAAACCTGAACTCAAGACTATCCTTAACATAAGCCCACCAAGAAACCCACTTAGGCCGAGTACCCTGGTGATCACATTTCAAAAATTTAAGTTGCAATGAAATCTTGTGCAGCCACACCATCTCCCTTTTTTCCTATGCTACTCTAAGCCTATATCTCACATCAAGTGCAATTTTAGTAAGGCCCATGTTTTGCGTACCTCCAAAATTTGCTACCTCACATGAATATAAATTCCATTCAAATAGAAAACAAATATACATCGTCATCAACTATAACAAAAAATACAGTCAGAAACTTTTCAAGTCAAATAACCTTCAAAAAGTTGAATACTATTGTAACTAACCATCGCAGTACACGGTGGCTAGACATCATAGCTTTTGTACCACAACGACCTCACTTATTAAACATCATTTCAGCACAATACCAGCACCTTTTGAGGAAATTGGTCTCCTATACCAACCTTGTTTATGTTTTGGGAGCTCCTCTAGTAATTGGTTCTAGTAGATAATGAAAACTTAAAAACTAAGCTACTCATGTAGGAGCTGTTTGATAAGTTGATCGAGGTCTTCAACACTTAATTCACAAGGGTGGTTTGGATAAGGTACATCAAAAAAGTAGGATAAGGAATCCAACCATGAATTTGAAAAAAATATAATAGAAAAAGACATAAAAGCCTATAAATTACATGAAATTCTCCAATCTGCTAGATTAGCAAAAAACGGTATTCCTGTAAAGTCCCTGGTTACCCATGCCCAAAAAG